ACTTCGAGTATAATCCTGGCCTTTTCAGCCAAGTTCTTGCAGGTGCAGATGCAACCTTGTACTCTTGCAAAGCACTGCACGGAAGCCAACGAGCTCACTTTCTGGTCTTTGTAATTCCTCAAGGTCTCTGATACAGAGCCAGGAAATCTGATTGAAACTAATATGCATTTTTTCCTCCTATCATTCTCTAGATTGTCATATCACAGGCACTTGCTTACATTGGGAAAGACATCCATTAAATAAGGATGAATAATACCCATTTAAAGTAACTTGTCTGTATTTTCATGTCTTTTGTAAGCAACTTCTGAGTGCTGACTTCTCAATTTTAAGATTCCTCTTTTCCCCCAACTATCCCACATTTCTGAAATGAGGGTATAGTTTATAGCAAACATGTGCATTTAATATAATGTTGCTATTAAATTCATGGTACACTTGATGGAGAAAAAACATGAAATGGAAAACACAACACTAGTAAACATTAAATATCGTTAGGTTGACTCTAACCTGCTCATCCTCTTCTTGAATTTAGTTCATGTCTACACCATACACATAATCACAAGACTTTAAAGTTAATAGAAACATTAGATGTAACTGAGTACAGTAGATACAATATATAATCTGCCAACTGAGCCTTGACCAAATTTGTCCCTTATTAAGGACATAGAACTAGCAAGTGACAGAGCTGGGCATTGGAAGTCAGCAAGCTACCTTCTAATGTAGGCTTGCTCAAACAGAGAACACTCAAAGTCTATCAACCTAACTTGCCCAACAAGTCACCCTGATCAAGCGCTAAATTTCTGATCCAAGAGCCTTGACCAAATTTGTCCCTTATTAAGGACATAGAACTAGCAAGTGACAGAGCTGGGCACTGGAAGTCAGCAAGCTACCTTCTAATGCAGGCTTGCTCAAACAGAGAACACTCAAAGTCTATCAACCTAACTTGCCCAACAAGTCACCCTGATCAAGCGCTAAATTTCTGATCCAATCTGGTCACTGATATGACTACATAATCAGATATCCTCTTTGTTTGTAAACAGTTCCTCATTCTGTCCCTCTCACTCTC